ACCACACAGACATCAATTCAGACTTGTCCTAAGTTTGCTTCATAGTGCTGGTGCCAAAGAAACAATCCTCTTCACCAACCCTGGCTGATACCTTGTCACTATGGACCTTCTGATTACACTCAGCCATGCAGAATAGAAGAAGGCATGAATCAAAGAAACAAAGGATCTCATGATACCCATCAACAAAAATAAAAGAAAATATCAAGTTCTTAAGAGAGGGCCTATTTCAAGGGCCCAACATAGGACTGCAAAAGGTGGAAGATCAATTAAATTTAAAGTTGTTTGTCCCACTTGATTATGTGTTTCTACTACATGTGCTAATCAATTCACCATGAAAATCATGTGATTGTAATATTGAGATTAATTTCACCTTCAGCACTCACCTTGTCAGTTTCAATTTCATAGACCACTTCATCTTCAGCCACACTGTCACCAACAGCTGGAAGGTAAAGCCATCTTGAAGAGATATGTATAACTTTTCCACATATAGTCCACACCAATTTCTTACAAAATTGTGGAATGCATTGCACCTATAAGATTTGATCAAACTTCAGGTGGTAGTGCACCTGGTAAGTGAGACATTTACTTGAGCATTGAACGTGAAAAGTCTTGTTAATAATAGTGGTTTGTCACTTCCATTAGCCTGGTTTCCCACACAAGGTATACAGATTACACAGTCAATTTGTCAATTTTCTTGACTTTTCAACTTGAATTAAATCTATACTCACTGACACCCTCCTTTTTCCTACTGTGCACAATACTTCCCATGGAAACATGAAAACAAGAGTAGCTTAACTAAGTCAAACTTCATTATTTTATTATTTACAAGCATCAAATGTCATGTGACATCACTACTAGATGAACCTGAAAGTAGTACATGACTGGTGAAAGGTTCACAAATTTCCAAACTGGATAAGGTATGCTGACTGTGCAGTCACACTGCCTATTAATAAAAACTCCTAAGAAAAAGTGAAAATACCTTAAAACCTAAAATGAAACCTGAACCAAAACAAAAGTTATTTGGAACGAACATCATGTGAAGGCAGAAGCAGTGGTCAGTAGTCTCATGCATTTACTTTGAGCTGATAAAAAACTAGAATTATTATTGAAAGGTTATCCCACAAATTGGAATCATAGCACAGGAAGTGCCGCACAGGAAGTGTTCATAGGAACAAATTTTTGGAATTTCACCTTGCAAATTTCTGTACTCATTCGTAATAAACAAGCATAATCAAGAAGGAGTTGAGAGATCCACAATGAACACACCTCTTAAATCCCAGCTGTGTCCCTGATGAGATTAACACATCTAGACAAGAAATAGCAATATGGATATAATCCTATTGTCCTGCAGCTGGGATACAGCAGCATATCATCAGTTACAATAAAACTGGTTATTTCTAGCAAGGATTCATCTGGGAAGGAGCCGAGACAAGTCAGCTGAGGAAGCTCAGTAATGTCCCAAGTGTTTTCCTGCTCTGATTATCCAGCAGTAATAAAGGCAATTAGTGCATTTTGAAGTGCAGCTGTTATTCAAGAGCTTGCATACAACTGGGGTGTCTCTGTTGTGAGGCAACTGCATTCCAACTGGGGAAAACCAAGAAAGAGTTGGCCTGCATGGGTTATGTCTTGGGGTGAATTCTATTGATCATTCAGATAAAAAGAACTACATATGGCTTCCCGCAGTGTGGTACGGTGCATTCTCAACGCTTGGTAGTTTTAGAACCTTCCGGAGACAAAAGGTATATTTAAGGTTAATTTTGTTAAAAATTAAGTGGTGTATGTCGTGCTTGTGCTCACTTAATTGTTCGTTATTAGACTCAGGTAAAGGTTTGGAAAATTGGCGAACTTGTGAGACTGACTCACGGGAAATCTGAGCTAAAATGGGGATATGAATGGAGAAGTTCTCCTCCAGGCCACTAGATGGAGGTATGGGCCTTGCTTTTCTCACAGTACATAAAAGTGCACTTCCCTTTTTCCATGGAATCATCCCTCACAGGAGTTTATATAAATAGTACCTCACCATATGTCTTTCCTAGTCTCATTATAGCAATCAATAAAATTGGAAACTTAATCATTTCTAATCCCCATATTCAAGACAGAATCATGGAGTCCAGGCCATAAACAAGTTCATCTTCCATATGAGAGCCCCTTGCATACTCTAGCATATATCATCTACAAACAGTAAATGAAAGTTTCTGACAAACACTGACTCTAACCGTCGTGTCTTCATTTCCGGAGAAAGATGGAACATTCTATCCACAGGAGAGGAAAGGGGAAGTCCCAGGTTGTGCACTCTACTGGGATGCGGATGGGAAAGAGGAGAAAATCAATGGATTCTCAAGTAGGAATGTCACACATCTTGCAGCTGAGTAACAGCAGAGAGAATAGAGGAGAAGCACTGCTGTAACTCAGCTATGATCCAGCTGTGCTGGAAGCATATGCTCTGTTGCAGTGCAGCAGGGCAGAGCAGCTTCCAGCACAGCTGGATCACAGATGAGCTACAGCAATGCTTTCTTTTATTTTCTCTGCTGCTACTCAGCTGCATAACATGTGACATTCCCACTTGAGATTCTACTTATTTTCTCCCCTTTTTCACAGCTGCACACTTGGCTCTTCCCCAGCTGCATCCCAGCAGAGTGTGCTACCTGGGGCTTGATGAAATGTGGTACACAGGCTCTTACTTATATACTATGAAATTGATTCAAGGATGCGGGATGAAAATACATAGAGAAAACTCGCCAAATCCCTTAGGAATGGGGGAAGAGTGAGAGTAAATGGTTCCAGCTGGAATTAGATACACACTGTATATTATAACTGGAGTCACTAGTAAGCTTAACATGTGTAATTTTCAAGATGAGAAATAACAGATAGAACTGGTACATTCTGCCAGAGACTTATGATGGCCTGATTGCAAGTATTAACTGGACTTATGTGGAACCAGACCTGTACTGGCATAGAACCAGCTAGGAGTTGAAAAATAAAATCATTTAATTATATTCCAAGAGCAAAAAACTGTCTTAACTGGAACATATAAGGCACTATTATAAATTCTTAATTCTGTATTAGTTCCCTGAATTTATTTGAAATGGGTGACATTGGGAATGGTGCTGCAACTGTTAAAGAAACTTCATTTAGCCAAAAAAAAGTAGTCTCATTACAATACATGTCCCCAATAAATGAGGAAAAAAAAAACCTTCTCAATGATAATGAAAAAATCTAAATTATCCTAGCCACGAGGCTTATAATCCTATAATTGCCTCACCCCTTGAGGATTCTCGACGCTTCCAGATGATCCCCGATGTATTCTCTCAGGAGGAATGCCCATTTCAATTGCTCTCTCAGCCAGTCTGACTACACCAGAAAATGGAGGATCATCTGAAATATAAGACCACAAGGAATAAATACATGAATGCTACATATTCACTAAAAATTTCCATTCAAGGTCCTAGTTTTTTAAATTGATGGATGCCTAATTTATGATTGAACGCAACTAGACCCCCATCCAGGTACTCACTTGCAACAACTAATAAATCATAGTACTAATACTATTTACTCTCAAAGATGACATCACCCAAACCCTGCTACAGAGCTGGGACATATACTGCTCACCATCCAGCCAAATACTTTCATGGGCATTATACGTTATGCGCACACCCCCCCTACCCCCTATGCACACCACTGTGCACACTGAGTTTCATCAGGTGCTGATATTACACACAGTTAGGCCTACTTCTTGTCCTTTTTTTATCAATCCTATGATGAATAAGGAGTAGTATGTCAGAGTATAGTCAGAGATAAAAGAAACTAAGAATACATCTTGGGTGGTTCAACAAGACTTCACCCTGCACATCTCATAACAAATCTGTTATTTCTTCTCCTAAGAAGACACATTAATGAGACATATTAAAACAGTTTAGAATAATCATTCAGCAGAAGGAGCAAGTAGGCCTAGGTCATCATTCATTGATGTGAACCAGTCATGACTTGCAAGAAGCCTCCAGAGCCAGCCAGGCATGCAAATTGCAAGTTGCATTTGCCATTGTCTTGAAACTACTTGTGCCATCTGCTGATTATCATCAGATGAAATACCTTATGAAACTCACATTACTTACACATCACTGAATTAAACTCCCTGTCATATTACACAGAGGTTTTCCCTGTCTTCTTGGTCACATCAATGACATCATTGATAGTGATGCTGAATAAATTTATTAAAAAACTGAGAGTTTGGATTTCATTTGGCAAAAACTCAGGTCTTTGACTAGCATGGCCTAGAAGTGGAATTTGAAGTAAAAATTTTTTATTATTATCCCATTCAATAATTTTGGGACACCCTAAATACTATGCATTAGATAGTAATGTGGATATGAGGATAAGCAAATCTGCAGCTTTCAGACCAACATATGATGATTCCATCCCCACCATTAGGAGATTTGATTAAATGTACCCCAAGAATAGAACAGGAACACTGCTTCTAATCAATCTGCAAGTCACATTGGTTCGTCAAGTACTTGTATTTTTCTAAACCTAAAGATGCATGCACAAAAATCTTCTGAGGAGTCTTAACAGCATGCTGAACATTGAATCTACTCATGAAAAGATATAATGATTTCAATGCAATCTTTTTAAAGACCCTGCACGCTAGGTAATGAAAAATGCCTCTAAGTGGAGAGATGAGGAAAGCAAATGCAAATGAAAGCAGAGGATGGAATAATGATTTCAGGCGAAAAGATTAGCTGTAGAACTCAAGAAGTTGATGGAAGTCTGTCCTTTCTCAAACTGTCTTGTGCTGGCCTACGGGAAGAATCTATCCCTGGAAGGCCTCAAGAAGCTCTTGGAGAAAGATTTATACCAAAGTGCATGCATGATCCTTCTCACACATGTGACCTGACTTTTTCAG